GCATGAAAGGTTCACTTTACATCATAAGCTAGCATAAGTTGCTCATCCTGCCCAACAAGAATTGAGTTTCCTCAATACTTCTACAGATTTGCTGCATGGCAGTTGCTGTTCGATGAGTTGTTTGTAGGAAAGGCTGTAACTAAGGTAGTCTTTATTTAGTCAATGTCAGACTTTGCTTTGTCATCCAGCTATTGGTAAACTTCAAATGCTCTGCTCACCAGTCTCAAAGGGATCACATGCTCCAGAGACTTCACTCCACATAGCCTGCAAACAAATTCCAGCTTCTCCATCCATTCAACAAGTGGAAGACTGGACACCGATCTATCAAACCTGGGGATTAATTTTAAGTCAAATTTGTGTCTACCATCATTTGTCAATTACTGAAATAGCTTGTGTTCATCTTGTCTGGTTGTCAGCATGTTGAAAGCATTCCTCACGACTGAGAAAAAGCTGGTGTTACATAGCTCTCTGTCCCAGACCCATGCTGATGATGTCCAGCATAGTTTGTATGCAAATTTTGTCAGAGCCATCTACTGTAAGTAGAATGTCCACTCTCAACAGTCAATTGTGGAAGAGGATGTAACTCCTGGTATGTACTGCACCATATATAACCAACTCTGGGTCTTGTCAGGTTGACTCGATTCTCTGTTATACAAATCTGACTTAGTGCTTAACATGACCAGTTGAGTGATCCAATTAGGTCTCTCTGACAACACATTTAGGTTTCAAGTGACATATCTAGTTCCTGACCCTCTCAACCACTAGGATCTCATCAGGCATTATGTGTCACCACCCATTGTAAACAGGAGAGGGTCTTACCCTACTTCAGGGATATAGTTGGTATATTCTTAGCCCCAGCAGGGAGTAGAAAGAGGCTCTTCAAAAAGCAAAATGGAACTGATATATGCTGATATAATACGATGCAGACCTTTCAATAAAGGTCAATTATGATTCAGATTATCCCAGAGGCTTCAGACAAAAAGCAAAGAACAGAAATGTGAACAACTAAAGAAGAAACTATAGCCACCTCAAAAAGGAGTTTCAAACAATTACTTATACCAGTATTCGTCATGGTGGTTACCAATTTTTTTTTTTTATCACAACAGATCATAATTCAGAGAAATGTTAAGACCTGAAAAAACCCATACCAAACTCAGAAGTAGCAAGTATTCTGAGATTTATTTTGATTTTATCAGCACAACTACAGGCTTAAATATAAATCTGGTTAGTTTAATATGATAATAGACTTTCAACATTACCCAGCAAAATAGAAATAGCAAGAAAGACTAAAATATTGCAGAATACTTTGGAAATTGGCCTGAGAGTGAGAAAATAGAGAATTACAGAGTTGCTGCTTAGACAAACTTAAATTGTGACCTATCAAGCAACAGGGTAACATATTTGTAGTTGAGCTGAAGCAAACTGATCCTATCCTGAGGTTAGAATTAAGATTCTCAACTTGACTCTCACTAAAAGCAGCATTTGCTAATATTAAGTTTATGAGTAGTTTGATATACACACTCACTAGCAGGCTTTACCCACTTGCTATCACTTTGCAAGGTATACTTGAAATCTTTGAAACAAAAATTTCAAATGAACATTTCATTCATAAATTGGCTTGTTATTGTTAAGGAAAGTTTTGCAAATAGATGCCAACTTGCTGAATGCCAAGTAAAATGCAAATTTCAAACACTTTTCTGAACTATATAAGATGATATTCCTAAACAGAACTATTTTTGATATGAAAATCAAAACAATCCTCGAATAAAAGAACAATAATGAAGGACAGATAACTAATGATATAAACTTTTTTAAAATCAATATGCAAATTAGTTAAACTTGAAGAATGATATTGCCTAGAAGTAGATAATATATAATATTAATATACAATATAGATATTGAGCTTTCAGTGTGTAAATTACTATAAAGTAGTTTGTAAAATGTTTATTTATCCTCTCTCAGTTGCGTCTCTGTCTTTGTGCAGAGTGCACTTAGGCGTGACTGACAAAAGACAGAGTTGCAACAAAGAAAAATTATACTGAGAGGTGCCCAGCCCTGGGGAACAGCTGTCCGAGGCCACACCCTCTCATTGTACCAGAGAGAGGAACTGGTGCTCACACCGAGGCCAGTGCAACCGATGGTTGTGGGGGCTGCAGGCAATTTTTGTTACCAGCCAAGGTGTATGTGCTTGGGCTCTTCACATTAAACCGACCTTGTGTCACAACCTGATCTTGTGGGGGTGTTGAGCAAATATGAGAGACAAGACCAATGGATTGCCATACTATGATTCCAGTTTCTACATTGGCCAAGACATTGACATTACATCTCCAACCAGTGCAATAATCTAGTTTCTAGCTCCAGCTAAAGGTAGAATCAATTATTTCCAATGCCCTTTGTTGGGTGACATTGTACAGATCAAGTCAACTTTTGTCTTAAGATGAGACTTAGTTGTAGTGCCAGTTTCAAATGATGGCAGAATCTGGAATGTTCCAGAAATATTGGTCATAGAAACCTAAAAAGAAATTCAGAATGCAAATCACCATTAGGAGAGGAAGTGTAGTAAGGCTGTTCAAAGTTCCCAGAAAGACTTTCATCCATTCTAATAAAAAGTTGAGTTAAGGCTTTACAATAAGCATTTTTTTTTAAAATTGACTATTGATTCCTTTTGTATGATAAGTTTCAAAATTTTGATGTCAGTCCTTTTTGGGAAAGTCCAAAATTATATAAACTTACAAAATTTTTAAAAAAATGAAATACATTTATGAGAAGTTTTATTATAATAGACAAAATAACTGTTTTGTTGAATTCCTCATCAAAAATGGAATAAAATTTCAAAGTTTCTGACTTGTAGTTCAACCAGATACTTTTTATAGCAAGTTCAAGAAGGTATATTTTTTACCCTACTATAAAATTTTGTTTCCACCAGTACTTACATGGTGAAATAAGAGATGTTTTACTGATGAACTCCCACAAAAAAAATTAAATTAGCTGAATCTCTAACATGCTATGAAACATATTAAATAGTTTCAATGACTTAACTGTAGAACTGAAATTTATATGAATGGTCAAAGTTGCCTTCTGATGTTATTTTCACACTGTTTTTAGGACGGAATGTAACCCCCACCCCAACCTGTTTAGGCTGGTCTTGTCTAATCATTATTAATTCCATTAGCATTATCTTTCTTATATTACTTAATGACATTGCATTTATAATGATTTTTTTATTTGTTTGAAGCCTGCATCTTCATATATACACTGTTAAAATGAGCTTCTCTCCTAATCACACTGAAGACAGAAAATCCAACAAAATTTGTATGGAAATAACTCAGTTGCTAATTGAGCTAGCAAGATAAATTTGGTACCATTTTTTATGTTTTGTCAAGCTCTATATGCTTACATAAAAAGCATTTAGATATATTATATATAAAAAAGATATATAAAAAATAGTTTGGGATACATATTAAAACACACAGTGTAGTGTTTAATAAATCTAGTAAATCCGTAAGTTTAGAGGCTTTTGCAACACTGAGGAAATTCGAAAGATCACTGCAGTATCATTGGGCATGATTTTTAATTATTGTCAAATAGTTCTATGATTTTGGGAAAAATGAGAAAACACACAGTAGCTTTGTCAACATGTGAAGTGAAATATAAGAAGCAAAATTTCTTATTCAATTAAACACTATAATTAATTCAAATGAAAATGTGCAAGGCATTCTATTGTTACAATCAAGGTACTCTAGCTCTTAAGAACCCTGCCTACCACAAACATTCAGAACATATCAACATAAATACCACTTTATAAAGACTGAAGTTCTAAATGACAGAATAAATTTGGACTATATTCTGTCAGACCAAAATGTCGCTTATTTATTTAATAAGCCTATCAGCTGAGTAAAATTAAATAAATTTTTAACATCCTAAATGGAAAACAATCATAAACTTTTTGTTTATCACTTTTGCCTTTTTGCCTTATTTTTATCTTACACATTTAGTAATAAAAAAAAGGTTTATAATGGAAAAGAAAAAAGAAAATTGTCATGTAAAAAATAAAAAATTGAAAAAAGAAAAATAAGTGTAAAAAATGACAAATATACATAGAAAAACATTTATAATAAAAATGTCTTGAAAAAGAAATAAGAAAATGCAAAAGCAATTATAAATATATTATGTTTATATTTATTGACCTTGTAAAGAGGGGAAAAGATGAAAATGAGTGCACTCATCCACTTGACTGAGGCGTGTTGGTTTCAATTCAAGGAATCACTGCTAAATTTATAGGCAAATTGTACAGATGCATGCTGGGATTTCTTTCTAACAATTAAACTGGACTAATTCTTGGTCTCATCTTTGGTTTCTCTTTTGCATGTTAGCATCATTATTACTTTGTGAACATTTTGCCATATTACTGTTGCATTGCCTAGTTTTGTCTTGCGTATATATTGTTTACATAGTATTATGTTGTCTTGTTCTTTTTCTTCCTTTTATTGTTTATGGAAATCTTTGAAAAATGCTGGTCATCTTTGCCAATTACACTTAAGCATGACCAATTACTCTACAAAATATATACACTTATTGACGTCACACACAGCAATTTTTTCAAAGAAAAATGCTCTTTTACTAAATATTTGTAAAAAAGTAGTCTTCAGCAGAAGATTAAATAAAGTGTTCAGTTTGAAATTCACTATAGTTTACCTGGATCAACATACATCTGATGAAAGCTGGAGGGCACAATGGCTGCAACATTGTGATAATTATTACATAGATGAAGACAATAGACTGCATGTAAATAAGGTTACTTTACTCATTCTGTTTTGGGAAACAAAGAAAAACTATGAAGATAGTATTTTTTGATTTAAGAGGCACAACACTTCACAGCAACTAAAATCTTCTAAGTCACATTTTTAGTACTCATTTGTTTTTTCATTGTTATTTATAATATTTCCAAAAGAAAAATCTCATTTTTCACTGAAATTATAAGTTGCATTATTTAATCTTACCGGGCGTTCTTTGTTTCAGTCCTCCCTTCGGTAGTTTAGGTACTCCCCCTGGAAAAAGTTCACCAATGCCCCCTCCAACTGATTTGTTCAGGGGCGAAGATCCTCCATGACTACCAGGGCCCCTTGAATTCATGGGCCCACTGGACTGCTTGTTACCTAGAATAAGTTTAATCAAGAGAAATAGATTAATATAGCTTAAAATTACAAGTTATATTCAAAACCAAGGTCAAAGAATAAACATTTCTTCTATGTTAAGTAAAAATGAAACATCAAAAATGTTTGACAAAATTTTTAAGTATTTATAGAGCTTATCAAATAAAGATTGGCACTGACAGAAAGGCAAAGCAACAAGAAAAAATATAAAAAATGGATAAAAAAAAACAAAACAAAACAAAAAAAACCCCCAAAAACAAACAAACCAACCCTGAAATCAAAAGAAAAGAAATAGTATACATAATTTAAGAAACTTAAGTTAATAGATGTGTAAATGATTCAATGAAGTTTTGACCGATTAAAATAAGAAACAAACTAATATTACATACACGATATATTTCTTTTATTGGGAACTGTTATTTTACTAAATGACAGGATTTAAGTTATGCTATTGTAATCATAAATATATTTAAAAAAAATGGAATTCAAGAGCTGAGGAAAAATAAATATGGAATAATTTCAATGTTATAATCTAGCTTTAAATCTAGGTAAAACATTTTTAAATTGAATAGAGCATGATAAATATAAAAAATGTTTTTCTACAATATATAATTCCCAAAATAACAAGTGGTAATTGCTGGAATATCTTTCAAAAGCTCCGGATCTAATCTTATCTGTCTGAATAAAAGAGTTACATACATTACTGAGCAAATCTGTTGCAGTTCCAATGCTCAATCAGAAACTGTGATCATGAGGTATTTAAGGAATGGGAATAACTAGCAACACTCTTGCAGCAGTACCCTTTACAATACTAACATTCAGAATACTATTATTTAATGATTATTGCAGCAGTTTTACTTTGTGGAGAATGATACTTGTCAGAAAAACATAATAAATACAAAAAAAAACAAAAACCAAATTATACCTGCTGCCATTTTAATTAGAATAATTCATAAATTTGGGTGACAGATTCGTGGTGCAACCTCAATGTCTACTACTAAGCTGAAAGTTCTTATTGATATATAATGAAAACACTTAGAATGTATGGAAATTTAATCACCTGATGTAGCTAATATAGGAGAGTACATTGAATGCATGACTGAGAAGTTTTTTTGAAACCCTGGAACAAACATCATTTCAGTAATAAAAAAAAGATACCAATACCTAAATTATTATAATACCTCAGTGTAAAAACTAATGAAAATAAAACCAATGACTGGAATAAATAGAAAGTTCTCCAAGCCTTATCCAATTTACCGTTGGGTAAACTGTACTATTTTCATTGTAAGAAAGGATCATAACTATTCCCAAAATTTATTTTCTTGATACAGTCTGAAGCATATGTTTTAAAGACATAATGTCAAGTACATTAAAAAATTATATATTGCAATTTGATGTCCAATCTAAAATTTAAATGATAATAAATGTTTACTCAATTTTTTTTTTTGAAACCCGGGTTTGAATCTCATCAAGAAGGTGACTTCTTGATGTTATCTGTCTGGGGAGGGTGATCCCAGCATGCAGCACCTTTGGAAAGTTCTCAAAAACCATACCACAGGTTGACCAAAGGTTTGAGCATACTGGCATTGTTCAAGGTTGATTATGCCAGATAATGCACTCTTTCCCAGAAACTGTAACTAAGGTTTGCTCAGGATAGTTATAGTATAAAATCACATGTGGGTGTTGAACAAACACAAATGTATCTAAAATGCAACAGGGATTGGTTAGCCACCCTAACAGGGGGGCATACTTGGATACAAGCAACCAGCTATCACCACTATAATAGGTAATAGCAATTTCAATAAGAATTACAAAAAATTTACTGAAAATTGTTTTAGCTGATCAAAGATAACTTAGTATAATGAGAGTTAAAATTTAGTTAGCACCATAAAAAAAAAAAAAAAAAAATTCACATTTTATTAAATTTAAAATTTTATTCCTATTAGGAATTTGATATAGAACTACAGGAAAATTAAAGTATTTTTCATGAATTCATTTTTTAAATCAGTACACAAAATGAAGAGCCAACATTAATCAATGGAATTCTACCTGTAGCAGACTTCATCTCCTATTGTAAGGCATAGTTAAATTTTATATATTAAATAAGTTGTTTTTCAGTTTGAGACTACAATTATGTTTTTCCTGCCTTACAAAAATTTAGTTTCATTTTATAGTGCTTGAATAGTAATATTCATCATTACATTAGCAAATACCACACAAGAAAACTGACTTTTCCTCATGTGAGTCATAATTCTGAAAAAAAGAAAGAAAAGTAAATGAAGGAAAGAGATAGAAAAACTGGCTGGTAGTTCAGTCTCAATCAGCCACATTCATAAGTCATCTGATCTCTCAATACTGCATTTAAAGTAACAAGTGGAGACAATTTATTTCATTTACAATAATATACAATAAAGAAAACTGTTAATTCACCTTTTATACAGGTTTTTTTTTGTTCAGTACATTTTTATCAAATTTCAGAACAGAAAAATTTAGAAAATTACAAATAATTTTTTAAGAGTTGAAAGCAAAAAATATGAATAAATTTTTTTGTAATAGTTCATCAAAATATTAAATGCAAAAAATTGTTTTCACAGGAAGACATCTTCTAAATAAATAACAGATAGAATATCTGTAGTGTGCGATTCATAAATGGAAAAGTTTAAAAGGAAAAAAATAATAAAACCTTAATGAATTTATAATTTTTTTCCTGTTAAATTTGATGGTAACAATCATTACTATTATAGTTGCATCTTCTAACAAATCTCATATGCCTTACATAAATTAGGTACTATATTTATCATTGAAGTAATTTAAGAAAATTAAACATTTAATGAGTACATGTATAAGGATAAAAGCTATTAAGAACTACATTTCCAAACATGTCATTGATACAATTTTAAAATAATTTACATATTTCTTTGCCTTTAAACTATATGATATTCCATAAATTTCCATTATCTTGGCTATGCATCTCCTACCCTTTCGTTTAAGCTATTAAAAACTAAATTATTGAAAGAAAATACACTTCAAATTTGTAAATATAATGTATACAGTTATTTTTCTAAAGAATTATGTACGTCCATGAATCATTATGAACTGATGAATAGATTATGAACAAGCCCAACCTTTGTGTTGTTACAAATCTGCATATAAAAATGTATTGCTTTTTTTATGCATAAATACTGTTAAAAATTTATAGGGAAACAACTTTAAATCCTAATACTACCGACATTTTCTAAATCAAACTTTTAAAAAGCATTGAGGTAACAGGTGAACAGCTGATTTAAAAAGGCATCAGGTTTAATGCTAAATTAAATATTGATATGAATTTAATTCACCTACCACTTCAGTTTAATAAAATGTTGGGCAGACAATATTTCTTTTCTCATAACACAAATTCAGAGTAACTCTTAATAAAGTGAGTAATATAAAATTAGCTTAAAATTTGGAAGGTTAGCCACTCTGCCTGATCAACTTATCAAGCCTTTTATATTCTATGTATTGCATGATACTATTTAAATATTGGAAATTCTACTTGTATGAAGAAAGCAATTCAGGTAATGTGAAAAAACAGAAACTGTTCATTATTAAAGTGTAGAAAAAATTAAGTATGACATGAAAAGAAAAATGTCAAGTTATATTTTTTATAGAGGAAGAATAGAATTTATGAGAGGAATTATTTAGTGAACAGAAAAATTTCCTTACGATGACTTCTACAGAAAAAAACTGAGAGAGCCTAAGTATTAAAACAACAATAACAATCACATGAAATGATTTTCCAACAGAAAAGCTATAAAAATAACTACCTAGACTAATTTGATCAATATCTAATAGCATATTTTTTGAAAGATGATGCATATTAGTTACTAATAAATTTGTAAGAGCTGTTCAGTTTGATTTTTAATATATGAGCCATAGTGCAAATACAAAATTAACTTTGATCAGAATTTATGCATAACAGACTGAAAGAAAGAAGAGGAAAAGAAATGATGGAAGAAAAAATGGATGAAAGAATTAAATGATAACTGAACTTACTCATTGACTCAGACTTGGTGTTAAGTGTAGAAAGATTTTTAAGACAGCAGCACTAGTAAGACCTTTATGTACCCCAGTTGTTTGTTGTAATAAATCCTAGTCACCCATACCGTATGGCAGGGTGACAAAATTGCAATATGGAGAGATAGCAGTCCTTGTTCTCATGCCTGCTAGAGAAGCACATCACTACACATTGATGTAGACCATACTACGTCATTCTAGGCTACTAGCTGTGTGTGTGTGTGTGTGTGTGTGTGTGTGTGTGTGTGCGCTCGAACACTGCAAAGATGAGTGTAGTAGATGCAAAAAAAATCATGTGGATATGCATATACACATGTACATTAATATTCTTGAAAAAATATTTAGTCTTTTAATCTGCTTGCTGACATATCAATTCATTTTGACCAAAATAATGTTTAACTAGACAATGTTAAGCTAGACAAATAAAACTGAGAAAGGACTTTTTCAGCAGGGAAGACAGAAAGGAGGTAGTATAAAAAAAGACATCAAATTTTCTAATATTTCAGTGTCACCACAGAAAATATAGTGAATACTAAAGCAAAGATATTTTTTTATGATTAAAACCATTATGCATGTCTGCAAATATTTCCCATGAATGAAATTCCAGTAGCAGTTGCGAGAAATAGATATTATTGTGAAAAAATATTAGTATCCATCCACCTCAACCAAAAATAAATTAAACTAAAACGAACAGAATATTTCAATCTAGAAAATTGAGACAATAAAATGAATTAAAAAGAAATCCAAAGCTATTAGGTAGGAGAGAGAAAGTTGTGTGATTATAGATAAATTCAATAAGAAATTTAAATAAAGAGGTTAAGTGAAGAAAAATCCATGACACGCATCTCTTTATCCTTATCTTTTAATTCATTAAACAAATAGAGCAAAATTGAGAAGGGGAGAGAGATTTGTCAATATTAGTACCATCATCAGTAGTAGCAGTAGTA